CTTTTACCCTAATCTGCTTCCGCTGGTGTGAGTACCCCCACCCCAACCCCAGAATAAGGCAACCCACTAGTTCTGCTCTCATTCCCTCCAGGGCTTCACCTCCTTCCTTGTGTCGCCCCTACAGAGCGAAGCTCTCCCCTGTTCACCCCACCTTCCATCCATCAGAAATAAACGTCGATACTTAGAGAGGAGAATATAGATACGAGGAACACAACTGACATTTCGAACCAAAAAAAATACGCCGAAGAAATTTCGAGTAATTTTCAAAGACGAGAATTCTGCAATGGAATTGGATAAGAGTCAGGTTATGGAAGCAAATGCAGCGAAGATAAAACATGGAAAGTGATACAAATTGTAGATTCAGAGATTCTAAATTTAGGAATTTAGGTATTAAAAAATACCGATCCGCTTAGTTCTAGGAGTTGAGAGTTATGATGATTCTGAGAATGATTCTGGAATAATCAGGAATATTATTTAGGAAATTAAATTGGATATTTATTATTTAATTAGGATATTATTTTAGATGAAAGAGTAAATTGGTGATTAGGATGATGATGTGTATGATGATTAATATACTTGTCGAGATTACTAAATGGCAAAATTCGTGACCATAATAAAAACGTTAACAACCGCTATCTCTTTCCCCCAGATACCATCAATCCCAACCACCTTGCCTGACTTCTTCTCAGTTGAGAGTTATGATGATTCTGAGAATGATTCTGGAATAATCAGGAATATTATTTAGGAAATTAAATTGGATATTTATTATTTAATTAGGATATTATTTTAGATGAAAGAGTAAATTGGTGATTAGGATGATGATGTGTATGATGATTAATATACTTGCCGGGATTACTAAATGGCAAAATTCGTGACCATAATAAGAACGTTAACAACCCCTATCTCTTTCCCCCAGATACCATCAATCCTAACCACCTTGGCCGACTTCTTCTCCCACCCCCTTCGTTTTCTCTTTTCTTCCATATCCCCCACGCCCCTCACAATCTTCCCTCTTGCACCTCCTCCTAACATCACACCCATCCCCCCCTTTGTTCTTCCCCCGAAGAGAAAAATCAGTTGAGAGCTGGATGTCAGAAAGAAATGCCGAGACAAAGAGTGAGTGAAGGACAGAAGGTGGGGGATGAATAGAAAGGGAAACGAGAGGAGAGAATGCGATGAAGCTACCGAGGAGGAGGAGGAGGGAAGGACTTCTAGCGAAAAGAGAAGAGAAGAGATGTTACCCACAATGATGTTGAAGACGAGGACGTTGTAGTGATGCTGACACTGAAACTGATGATCTTCTGAAGATGACTGCCCTTAGCGATGGAGACGATGATGTTGATGAAAGTAATGATAATGATGATGATGATGTAGCTAGGGTAATTCCAGATGATGCTGATAGACTGAGAATATCACAAGAACGAGTAGATGATGAAAAAAAATCCCCAAGTAGAAGCCCTATCTTTGTCTGACGAAATCTTGCTGACGCGTGGACTTCTCCTCGACAACTCCTCACTCACTGCCTCCTGACGATCCTCCTCCCACTTCCCGTGACACACCCTCCTCTTCTCCCCCTCGCAACAGCCGACCTCCCTCCACTATAACTCGCGAGATAAAGAGAGAGAGTGATTACTCAAGAGACTACACTTACATAAAAGCAAGCCCCCCTCCATCTGACATGCTAGCCTGCAGCAATACTCAAATGGAGCACGAAGCATAGAGATGGCACTTGTGTGCTTTCAAAAGCCGGGAGTCAACAAGTGACGTGTTTCTATCTTCCTTCTCGCCATCCAGTGACATCTCATCAATCAGCCGAAATTAAGCACCACCCGCCAGAGCTTGAGATGCCTGCATTGTCGCCTGAGCAATGCTGACATGGCGGCATGGCCAGTCAGCATGCATATTCCAGCACCACGTCTGTCCGCTCGCCAGCTGTGCACCATCGCACACCCAGCGGTGCCCGCATAGCCACCAGCGCCAGCCACGTGCTCCACTCCGCCACCTGCTGACATTGCCAAATGTGCTCACGCACACAACCAGGACCGCGTCCCCTCCACGCCTGCAAACGCGCTCGCCGGCAGCGCCAAGAAACCCTGCAGGAAACTCGCTCCCACACCGCCAGCGACACACTCCTGCATGCTGGTGCGATACGCGCGTGGCGCGGTGCCTCACCTCAGCGGCCATTGCGCTTGCTGCCTCGCCTCCTTTTGGTAGCCGCTGATTAGTTGCCCCACCGGACTAGAGATCCCCTCTTGTCTAACCCAACATGGAACATGTACCATGAATAAGTCAGACGAAAGAAAACTAACTGAAACAATGGAGATTTCAAGGGGTGTAGATGGTCCCCAAGCCAGACACGAGGCAGCGTGTGAGAACATGCAGTAAGACCAGTCAAGATCCCCTTGAAAGGAATGTCCCTACTAGCCGTGTGTCCCCCAGTTTCAACACAGCAAAGAAATGCAACTGAGGGCAACAGATTTGGGGCCGAAGGGTCCTATTCCATTGGGCCTGGTCCCACTGAGTGCCGAAGGGTCCTATCCCATTGGACCTGGTGCCACTGAGTCACAAAGAGTCCCAAGTAGGTAATGGACCAGGACCCATCAGAAGGGTGTCCCAAGACGGTCCCAACCGCCTCTGCCGTACTGAAAAGGAAAAGATAACTTTCAGCAAGAACCTACTCCTACAGCCATTCAGGAGTGAAAAGACAATGCACTGTACAAAGATATGTCATTGAGAACAAGATACATCATCCATCCATCCCTCAGGACAGAAAGAAATCCACATGCTCACACACACAACCAAGACCACCAAGAGGAGGAAAAGAGCCCAGTACACCCCAACAGGCCATGAAGAACCAAGCAACCTCCCGTGGGCATACCCAAGTCACACATCACTTACCTGTGAGTCCCGGCCTCCAAAGATGGAATAAAGACTCACCCCCCTCTTTCATTGGTCCTCCTGACCCCTAGCTACCACTACACGAAGTCTCCTAGCATGACTAAGAGGGCTCTCCTACACCCATGTTACAACACCGGATCCTCCGTCGATGTTGACGATCAAATTAGCAACTTGCAGCCCTTCAATGCAGATATGGCAGCCTCCTACCAAGTCTCCCTCTTGAGGGGAAGCCCATAAGTCGCTCAATGTCTTCTTGAAGTCCAGATTCCAGGTGTGAGTGCCTCTTACTCTCTACTCCCTCTCGCTCACTTCAATCAACCTCCATTGTGTCCCGCCACCCCATACAATCACGCAAGCAACCTGGTCAGGTCTGATGTCGACCCTACATGACCTAACCAGGTGGGGGCAGCATCCACATACCTTGCTGCCCCACTTAACCCTAACTTCCAACCCTAATCCAAGTTTAGGTTAGCCCTAACCTAATTCGGAATTAGGGTTAGGGTAGTTCAACACCTCTAGCCAGCTAGAAAGTCCGCTCCGATACTAATTGTTACGATCCTGGTCATTCCCAAAGTGCAAATTCACATGAAAGACAATGGCACCCAATTGCGAAAGAAATGAAAGCACTTGCAAAGAGATAGAGACCAAAGAAGAGAGAAAGAAGAAGAAGAAGAAGAAGAAGAAGAAGAAGAAGAAGAAGAAGAAGAAGCTGTACACCAGCAAGACCAATGACAAATTCCCCTTCTCTCTCCACCATCCTCCTCCTCCTTGACTTCGCCAATCTTATTCTTCTTCCAAATAATAATAATAACAATGAGTGGATGAACCAGAATCAATATCCGAAGTTCCCTCTTACTACTAGCACAACAACAGGTCCACCATAGCCATGGCTTCCCCCTTCTTCCTCCTCTCACATGCCAAGGCTATGGCGGACTACTAAGGGCTCGGCCCTCTTGTGCAAAGGACAACACAAAGCAGCTATGTCGCTGCTCATCGGGCCACCATGCCTGACTCTGCTCAAGCTTCCTTGATGCTGCACTACCCCAACTGGGGCCTTCCAGATGCAGCGCCCAACAAGGTGATGAAGATGCTTTGCCCCCTTCTTCCTCCTCCTCAGGCTGGACTGCTCGCCATAGCCAGGCTGAGCGCCCAGCTGCTCTCCTTCCTCCAGGCAGCGCTCCAAGTCCAGCGCTTGGCTCCAACAGTATGTCCCCAATCCTTGAACACCACAAATGAGGAGGAGCTACTTGCTCCTCTCGAAGATATAGCGGCCTACTTGCCTCTTGGGCGGTGACTTCCTAGGCCGCACGGCCCCCCAGCAACTGGTACCTCCTCCCTTTCGGAGGGAAATATCATTGCAGGCTCTGGTATCGTCCGTACAGGCCCTAGACTCAGGCTACTTGGACAGGTACCAGCCTACCTCTAGCCTACCGCTATTGGGCCTCTAAAAATGCCAACTTTTTGTCTTCTTCTGCTCGGCCTCAAGTACTCAACACTTCTACCACTACTTGAGTGGTACCGGCCTACCTGCTACTTGAGCGTTTTTCCTGCTGCTCTAAGTGTCCCGGGCCTACCCCCGCTACTTGAGTGTTTTTCCCGCTGCAACCCTCAAAGTCACGGCCACGGGTAAGTACGGGCCCTGTGGGGCCTCCCAACCAACAAGTAAACTTGCGGGTCACACACACTTACGCCGACAAGCACTCAGACAGGCTCGCACACACACAGACTTAGAAATCACAGCAGAATGCGGGAATCTCAGCAAGGCATACATTCCACTGGCAAATCCCAGAAATCAGCAGTGTTCTCAGTCTGTGTCGGTGGGTCATTTCAGTTTAAGAAAAGTTCATCGCATTGGTCATGAGTTAGCATTAGGGTAGTGCCTTTCTGTAGCTGATGGATTGAAAAGGTCTTGATAGTAACTGCTAACACGACTTCTCCAGGGGCCATGCAGATCATTTTTTATGCCATACATTGTGAGAGAAAATGTGTGGCTATATATGTGTGACTATGACGCAAAGCATACGAGCAGAATCTGCCACCAATGATATGCTGACTTCTTCTGTTGGTGGAACTTTTTGTCCATTTTGTTTCTTTAAGTGCAGGGTTATGGAGGAGAGACAAGTGATGGAGGGAAGGCTCCATGAGGTAAGATTCCATTTGCCTCAGGAAACACATTCTTCAATAGTCAGCAGTAGTTGCTGCCCCCCCACAGGGTCCCATATATGCACACATCCATGCACATGATTTGGACTTTGAAAAGCTGCTGTTGTTTGTTTGAAGGATCTCCTAGTCTGTGACAATGAGCCCTTCACAATGTATGCCCATATTAATTTTGCATACAAGCTCACCAAAATCTGGGCTCTTTTCTTTTTATATATTTTTTCTTTTATTTTTTTTTTATTTTTTTTTTCCCAGAAACGCCCCCTTCAGGAGCAGCGCCCGCGCCTCTTGGTTAGCGCAGAGCAGCGCTAATTTTTTTCCCGTCCGCGTTCGATTCTCTAGTTTTCAAAAAACGGCGAGCACCGCGCCTAGCGCGCCTCGCCCGTACCAGGAGCAGTGACACCACCTACGACGAAGCAGCCATAGCTCATCGACCACGACAAAGAAGCCCGCGCTCGCGCGCCCGGCGTGAGCGCCTAGGCCATCATCACAAGTGGTGAAGAGTGTCACGACCTAGGAGAGACTACGGTTTTGGTCACTAAATATCTGGCTACGATCCTAGGGAAGGGGGGGCGTACACGACCGAGGTTAGGTTACAGGAGCTCCCCAACCAAGGAACACTCAGAGGGCTACACACGGACCTTTTGTCACATCGGCTCTTGCGTTTGTCCGGAAGCGACTACTAAACAAGGCATTTAAGGAGACTTTGGTAACTCATCGATAGGGCCAAAGCAACGACATACCCAAGAAAGACCAAGCATTGAGTGAGATCGATTCTCGCCACCCCTTTCTCAAAACCACCAGGGCCTGACTCCCTCCTTTTCTTTTTTGATCTTCTCACTTCCCGCCCGGCATACCCACCCTACCACTCCCTCCCAACTTTAGCTCACACTTTAAACCTGTAACGAAATAGTCTCATCCCAACGACCCATCGCCCAGCCGGTCCATCAAGCCTACTCTCTCCCTCTCTCACTCCCACCCCCAGTATCCGCTCAGCTGACGTCCACTAACGCCAGTGCCACCCCTCCACCTTATTGCAGCTTATTCCCGCTTATCCCCGCATTGCCCCCCCTTACCTTCTCCACTCTCCTACACTCCCCGCCATTACGCCGTTCCAGTCTACACGCCAATCCCGACCTCGGCTCTCCCGGTCTCTCCTCGACTCTCACCCAGCCTTTTCCATCCCTATTCCCCACCCCTCACTCCCACTATCTATTTTCTCTCACGCTGTTTCCTCTCTCCCCCCCTAATGCAGCCTTTTCTTGGTCACCCCCAACCTTTCCACTCCCCCTGTTGTTCTACTCTCCCTCTCTCCCCGCCAGTCCAACATTCCAATTCCGACCTCGCGCCACCCAACTTTTTCCCCTCATCTATCTCCCCGGCTAACACACCACCGCGCTCCTAAGAGACTTCCCCCCCTCCCCCCTCCATCAACCTCTCCTCCGGTCAGCTCCTAAGTTTCAATATATTTGGACCAGTAACAAAAAAGTTGGCAAAAATACCAAATTCGGGAAAAGTTTTTGCGAACTCCGAAAGCTACTCCAAATAGGGTTTTATAGTGCTTTTGAGGGTTTTTTTTCGGTTTTGGCGAACTCCGAAAGCTACTCCGAATATGGTTTTATAGTGCTTTTGATTTTATTTTATTTTTCGTTTTTTTTTGCCTGTTTGTTTTTCTGGTGTTTGTATTATAAGCTTGCATAGTTTGTTCGCAAAATTTTCGACAACATTGCTTGTACTGATGCGGCGAAAAACCCCGAATTTTGGGTCTTCCATTAACCATCTCTTAAAGAATGACGATGAATTGTCACCGCTTCCGGGCGGAGAAGAAACCACACACACATATTGTCCTTGAGCATGAGAACCTAGCAAAGGAACGAGCCGGGCAACATAGTCCTCGTAAGAATAAAGAATGGGAGGATTTACGACTTCAGCATGTGCCTCGGAACTAAGGGAGGTCGCTCGCGCAGCAACCAGTTCCGAAGGCTTCGAGAGTGCCGTCACATCACTCCAGGTGGTGCTCACTTTCCCGACTGGGACTTCCCCCTTGGCTCTTGTGGGACAACCGACTGTCTTGTGGAGTTCGTTGTTCAACCACAAGCAATATCGGTATCTCGTGCGTATCTTGTACACTCCTTCCGAGAGACCGTAGTTTGTTCAAGGTTCTCGAGCTGCTATGCTGGGCCCGGGGTTTGGAGAGGTGTTAGTCTTCGATTTGTCGCGTCCTCGCCCGATGGCGGGGCGACCACCACCCCGGGCGGCTGCTAATTTGTCTCTATCGTCAGAAGAAACAGCCATGTTAGAAGGGTCGGTTGGCGTTGTTGCCGCGACCACGACCACTTTTGGCCGATGCTGATCTCTGCCCTGACCTGTAGAAGACGAACGACCGATAATTCTTGGCGTCCGTAATCGTCAGAATAATCTGCGAGGCCTTATCGAATAATAGCTCACTTGTGGTGAGCGTCTCCACAACTTGCATCGATGTGTTTTGCAACGCCGGGCATGACCTCGTGATGAAGAGGTGCTTGATGCCCAAAACCGGGAGTGGCAAGTCGGGCGTGGACGCCAAGCGTTGGTACTCGGTAATCCAGTCTGCGCTTGGCAAAGTGTTCTGATGGAACTTTCAGAATTTCTCCATTGCCCGAAGCTCGGGCGGCTCCACTTGGAACCGCTTGTGCCATGCTGCCTTGAGATCAGCCCAGCTGATCTTCGTGTGCAGCTCGGAGACGGCGGCCTTGTGCGTGGACAACATGTTGTCCAGCTAGGCTTGGCACGGGCCCCCCGATCGGGAGTATAAATACACGTGTCGGCTGGCGTTGCGGGTCTGATGGATTTCCAGTTTAAGTTCAAACTGGTGAAACCAAGGAACAGGCTCGGTCCTCGTGGCATTGAACTTCGGGATGCTCTCACGAGGTGACACTGTAGTACCAGCGGTTGCTGCACAAATCTGTTGTGCAAACTGCTGATTTGTTGCTTGTTGTTGCTGAACGCTGTCCATTAAGGTGCCTACCTCATGTTCAAGAGCGTTGATGCAATCGCCGAAGTTGGAGGATCTGGCGGGTGTGGCTGCTGCTGTCTGCTGTTCCAGCCTGCGCACGCGGTCAGGCAGGTCGGCGATGAGCTGAGCCTGCTGTTTGACCAGCGTGTCGATGCAGAGGATGTCCTCTTGCTGAGCTGTGCATGTGGCGACCAAATCGGTCACATGTTCGAATGCGGTTGCGATGCTGCGCGCAGTGTTGGATGCATTATCCTCTCTGGCAGCTACCGCCCATTCGCCGGCTAGTACCTCGAGCTCCCCCTCATTTTCGAAGAGTGTGTCTCAGCGTACTCAATGTTGTTGGTCTGCAGCCTTCTTTGCTGCATCTGCGTCCTCCAATCGCTGTTGTTCAGCGAGGCGTGCAGCTGTGGCCGTGTCTGCCTGCTTCTTCCATTCAGCTAGTTGGTCCAATACACAGGCCTCATAGGCCTTATCAGTTTCCCCTTGCTTCTGCTCCATGTCGACCGTCTGTGAGCGGGTGACTGGTGGCATACGCCCCAGAAACGCATGGCTGGGGTTGACGTGGCACCAGCTGCTGCTGACGTGGCACTGATCGGCTGCTGACGTGGCACAGCTGTCGGTTGACGTGTTGCTGATGTGTCGCTGCTGATGTGGCCTGCTGATGTCCTGCTGCCGTGGCAACGTACCAATGTCATCGGGGAAGAAGAAGCTGGGTTGGGGGGGGTGGGGGGGTGAGAGAACACAGCAGCGTAGAAGGGGTGGGTGGGAGAGGGGAATGCAATGCACTAGCACTTCCCTACCCCCATGGGGTCACACTGATCACCCAGATAAAGAGCCACTAATAAAAAATGAAAGGTTCGAACTTTGCATAAAGAATAATAATTTCGAAGAGAAAAGTAAATTTTTAAAATTTGAAATCGCAAGTTCAGTACATCTCCCAATCCCCAAATCCCGAAATCGAAAAGAAAAGGAAAAAAAAAAAATCCAATTTCAGACTGCAGATAATCAGAGAAACGAATAAAAAGAATCATTGAACTGTAAAAAAAAAATTACGGGTTCAGATAATTGTAATGAACCCAGTCTGGAGGAAACTCGTCAAGTGTCGAAATATAAGATGACTCAGCGCTGATAAATGTCCCCAATAATCGTGAAATGTAATCTGTAATACAATGTCTCGTAACCATAGGACGAAGGAGGTAGGGGGGAGATTAGACTTAGAGGGTGGAAGAGAAAGTATCCATCAATGTCCACGTCAACAGAACACCCTCATTCCCACGCCTCCTTTGGGTGTCACCCCCATGTCCACGTCAGCAAACAGTGTCCCAGAAACGAGCCTAACGGGATCTGATCACGACATAGTGCCACTGAGGCACAATTCTCCCATGAAGACGTTTCAGCAGCACGCAATGTCGACAACATCAACAAGTAAGTCGTCTCTCTCTTACTCAATCAAACCCACAGATCCCGATCTCCCTCTTTGTCGCATTCCAATCAGTGTCGAAGACAGTGTGGCATGCGCCACGTCAGCAATGCCAAGACAGTGTGGCAAGTGCCACGTCTGCATCCAAGAAGACAGCTGGCGCCAGAAGCAGAGAGGCGTCAGCATGCGAAGCAGCAGTTTCGCATCGTCGTCGCACAATGCCAGCGTAGAGCCAGCGTCTTGTCAGCATCCAGCCAGCGTCAATCCAGCGTCGTGCCAACGTCAAGTCAGCGAGGCAAGATTGAATGTCGACTCCTAGGGGCTGGGTCAATAAATAGTGTTGACGACGTTGACCAGCCTCTGGTCTCTCATCCACGGAGGCTTGGATTGACTCACAACCGACGACCTGGATCTCGTACAGTTGTAGACTTCCACGTGGACCGAATGTTGTCTGGATAATCAAGTCCGTGTGTTTGATAGGTGGCCTGGACTGGGTCCGTGAAGACTTTGACTCGTGAGCCTCAATATTCCGACAAGCAATTGATTTCGGTCAACTATCGGGCGCAGGGC